CTGCTGAGGTGGTAATTATGGTTTGAGTGAAAATTGATAAGAATTGGGGCTGGTCAGAAGTACTTGCATTTTAAAAGCAAATCCCCTACATGCAGAAACCTTTGACACTTCTGGCAGTGAAATTGGAGTTCCCCTTTGCATATTGTTGGTTTCTTCTCGCTCTTAAGGAAGGACCTGAGGCATTTGGAGTATTAGTGGCAATTTTGATAGTTCAGATTTGAGAAATTCAGGGAAAGACCCTTACATGCCTCTGGTGTAAACCCCATAGTCACTGAAGCGTGAATTGAAATCCTGAGAAGGGGAGATGTCACCTTTTAGGTCTCTTTTCCTTCAAGTGTGAAGCATCAATCAGGTAGAGAGACTGATAGTCCCTATATGAAATAGCTCTCAAATGAAGCTCATTCCTCTGTATGCTTGTGGACATGTGTTAAAAGTAACTTCAGGAGGGTCAGCAGGCAGCATGATGGTTAAGGCCCTGCATCCCACATGACTGACTCCACAGTTAGTGTGTTAGACCTGGCGGCTTGAAAAACACATTGGGCACATGTGTGTGCATGCCCAAAATCCTGAGAGGAGAATGGAGAAGGGATTGTGGCATGACCGTCCATCCTGGGGAGGGGGGTGCTTTCTCACTTTCTCTCTATCTCTGTCTCTCTTTGTCTCTCTCCAGTGAGCGTAAATGCTCTATAGCAAAAAAAAAAAAAAAAAAAAAATGCTCTATAGAAAAAAAAAAAAAAAAAAAAAAAAAGTAACTTCAGGAGGCAGTAGAATCAGTTAGAACTTGGTTTGGAGTTTCTTCTCTTCCCTTTTCAAGCTGTGTGTCCGTGGGCAAGGCAGTAACCTCTCTGAGCCTGTTCCCTTGTTGTGAAATGTGATGCAGGGTAATAATAATAGTACATATTTCACATGGATGATCTCTGCATTAAAGGAGATGAGGTTTATAATATATCTGACACAGAGTCAGTGCTCAATAATTGTTAGGTTTTATTATTAGGTCATTAGGAAAGTCATGATGTATTTTTCTATGGTTTTCTATGCCAAAATGCATCATGACTTTCCTGATCGCCCAATAGTATTACTGTAGTTAGGTTGAACCATACAAAAGTGCTACTCTTGTAGGTTAAAATGGTTGAATATTGCCAAGACTATATGGTTCAACCTAATACTATTATTTACTCTCGTTCCTGTGAGACATTTTGTTCCTGAAGAGACCAGATAAAGTCCATAAAGGGTGATGCCTATCAAAGGCCCCACTCTTTTATTTTAGCCGTTTGACAGCATTGGTGACTGGTGACTGTCAGCCCTGCAGTTGGGATAAATGTGGATTATTCCTTTCAATCTGAGATGGGAGATTTCCTATCTGGACCTTTTCAAGTTTATCATCCCAAGGCTGAAAATGAATGACAGGAGTAATATTCCTCTCTTCTTTCTGTCTTTTGGATACCACATTAACATCATCAGGCAAAACTGGACCATCTCGATCCCTGAAGCATATCAAAACAGTGGCATTATGATAGTTTATACATGTTGGGGGGCTTATGCAAACATCCAAAGTTTCTACATTGCTAAATGAAATAAAATTTGGAGGTCACTTTTAATCTTCAGGTTGTAGAGTCATCAAGTCGAGAGATGGAGATTTGTAGATGATTTTGACAAAAGAAAAGGTTAGTGTAAGGGCTGCTCCACTGTTATTTTAGCAATGTGTAATAGTTTTCTATCTGGCAAGTCAAAGAAGAATCTGGCGTCAAATTTTAGGTATCTTTCATCACCAAGAGATAAGTCAGTTCCACTAGTGAATTAATCAAAAAGCCACTGTGTCCAGGCACTCAGAAAGGCAGAAGCTGAAGCTGCCTCCCTTTTCCTGTTGAGAAAGGAATTGTGGAGTTGGGAAAAGTCCAGCCAAGTGAACATTGGTCCTGAGAGGGAGGGATCAGTTCAGGACTCTGGCCTGGGTTTTTGATAAGTTTTCAAAGGAGGCCAGATTCCCTGAGGGGTGGAGCACAGTGTCATACAGCAGCTACCAGTGGGATGATTCACTAATGCTCAGTCACGTGGGAGCTATCACACATACCTCATCAAGATCTGATGGGAAAAATGTAGTTCCTTGTCTGGTAGAAAGAGGTTTGCTTGACTTGGCAGTCATTGACAATCTGGGTACCTACTTTATTCATGCTAGTTGAATACTATTCACCTTGAATAAAGAGATTTTTTTCAAATTTTTTTGTCTCTTTTCCCTTTTCTAAGTTCTTTTATCATTCATATGCCTAAAACATAAGGTTCAGATTTAGGTACTAAAGTACTTTTTAATTAAAAAATTTCATTCTAATAAAATTCTTTGTGTAATAAGACTCCCTAGCCCTCTAACTGGAGCAATACCTAATATAATAAGAGACCTGGACTTTTTCCATGGTGATCTTAATTTATGGTATTCAACTGTGTATTTTCTGCAGTGTCCTTGGGGAACAAATGCAGCTTCTAAACAAGAATTATCAAGGATACTTGGGTCAGAGTGACCCTTCAATAATATATAGGACTTGTGCTTAGTGGAATTGTGAGGTTGGTGAAATTTACATTCAAAGCCTACCTGGCACCATTATCACAATTCCAGGGGCTGGTCTTCAGCTTCGCAGGCTGGGAAACCTCATTTCCTCAGCTCATATCCACTTCTCAAGGAGCATTTTCTTGCTCCCCTGTAAAGAAAACCATAATGATGAAGCATTTAAGGAAGACTTCCATCAGCATAACTGGTGTGTGTTCCATTTCTGTAGACAGAGCCTATATGGGAAGCCAAATCATAAGTAGGTTTCTTGGCAAG